GGCGGTAGAAGCATCAATTACTAACGGGATGACTGGTTCGGTTAAGGAACCAATGAGCCAAGAAAGAACAAGTCTGGTCATTCCTATCCCGAGTGTCGAATTCGGGGTTTGGTTTATTATCTGCAGTTGTGGGAGGCGGTACGTCATTGGGTGCCATCAATATGGTGAAGCAACCCATGATAACGTAGAAGAGGAAATAGTTGAGTTTTCCAAAAGAGGAAATTTGTTGGCGTGAGTTTCGGGAGGATGTGATCGGTGAGATTTGGAAGGGAAGGGGTAGAAAAAGCGAGAAGAGGCGGTTTCGGTAGCCATTAGGAAAGGAGACTACGGAAGAAGCAAAGAGGAGGGAAAGAAAAAAGAAGTATAGCGAAAGGTCGTTAAGCCGTTTCAAGCTACGATACCATGTAAGGATTATATTTCTCCTTTGTGTATTATTTCTCTCTTAATTAACTCGTAAGTTACGAGCATATATATATATGTACACTAACTTGCAGTGACTAAGGAGTCTAGCTAAAGTAAAACTATATACATACCGCAAACTTGAAAGTCTAGCTAAGGTATGCTACCGATATGCTAAGGATGCCGACGACTAAGAATGCGGATGAGTAGGGATAGGATAGGTCTTGAAGTATTTATCCTTATCACTCTCTTCCTCTTTCCTTCTCTCCATCCCTCCCTTTTCAATTTTCATATTTTCATAACTTAGGAAGGATCTCTCTCTCTCTTGTTTCATTTTTCATAACTTATGAAGGATTGCAACTTAGTACGATTTAATTTTCATATTTTCATAACTTATGAAGGATCTCTCTCTTGGTTCAATTTTCATAAATTATAAAGTATTGCAACCTTAGTACCATGACAAAATGACATTATGAAATGCTTTACATTATATTCTACCGTTATTTCCGAGAGTTCTTGTCGCAAGGCAACGTTAAAGGAAAAGACAAGCTTAAAATAAATCGGTAGAAAAATTAAAAACGAGTCGTCGATTAGTATTAAAAATCATTAGAAATCAAAACGACCGGTCCGTATAGAGTCAAAGGGTAAGGGGTTGGTTATGTGTAGAAAAAATAAAAATTACTTTATCCTGTCTTGCTTAAGGTAAGTTGTATTAAATACGATTTGAACATAATTTATGTTTTTTTTTTAATGATGAAAATTTATGCTTATTCGTAGATATTTTCCTGTCAATCTAATGATTCAAAATTGTCGAGAACATGAGAAGATTGAATAATTGACACAAAATCGGTTCTAAAATGCATGGAACTAAAAGCCATGATTTTAAATTGATATAAACTCAAGAGTCACAATTTCACAAGAAAATTCGAGCAAAAATGGTCTATGGTCTAGACTGATGTGAACTTAAGCATATAGATTTTACAAGAAAAATTTAGGCAAAAAATGATCTAGAGGTTAAGACCAATGCGAACTCAAGCATAGTAATTTCACAAAAAAAAATGCGGATAAAAGCATACGACTTTAAGAAATATGTGAAAACACAACTTTGTAAAATATGCAAAAACATGTGACTTTGAAAAATGCATGAAAACATATGATTTTGTGAAATAAGCAAAAACGCACCGACTTAATTTGAAAAATGTGTGAAAACACAACTTTGAAAAATATGTAAAAACACAAAAATTTTAAAAAAAGCATGAAAACATATGATTTTGTCTAATGCGCAAAAACATGTGATTTTGAGAAATATATAAAAACACAATTTTGAAAAAATACACAAAAACTTGTGATTTTGAGAGATACGTGAAACGTATATTTTGTAAAATACACAAAAACATGCAACTTTGGCTATTGCGTAAAAAACATGCAACTTCGAAAAATACACAAAAACATGTGACTTCAAAAAATATATAAAAACACATAATTTTTTAAAATAAGCAAAAATATGTAATTTTGAGAGGTGCGAGAAAATACATGACTTTGTAGAACACAAAAACATGCGACTTGTCTAATGTGTAAAAACATACGACTTTGAGGAATACATAAAAACACATAAGTTAGAGAAAATACGCAAAAACATGCGATTTTGAGAGATGCATGAAAACGTATGATTTTGTAAAATACACAAAAATATGCGAGCTTTGGCTAATGCATAAAACATGTTATTTTGAGGAAATGTGAACATATGAATTTGTAAAATACACAAAACATGCAATTTTGTCTAATGTGTAAAAATATATGACTTTGGGAAACATGTAAAAACAAACGACTTTGATAAAATACACAAAAAAATAAGTTATTTTGAGAGATTCGTGAAAACACCCGACTTTGTCTAATGTATAAAAACATACGACTTTGAGAAATACATGAAAACACATGAATTTATTTAATACGTAACAACGTGCAACTTAGTTTAAATACATGAAAACACACAACTTAATAAAATACGCAAAAACATGCGACATCGATATCAAAAGATATTTCAACACAATCAATTAAGTTTTGCACATATTCAAAGATACATGATTTCATAAATGACATTCAATTTAAAATTTGCTTATCAATTCAAACATCGCATCTAGGTAGTCTTAACACGGACATTTTAAGCAATCAAACAATTTATATCGGATCAAGATTGGCACTTATCTTGGATAATTTTTAGAATTAAAATTTAATTTCATCCTTTCAACTCCATTGCAAAGCATAGAATCCGACCTTATTCTCCTCAACATTACAAGAGTCTCAAACACTTGGAGTTTGATACACTTGGCGTATCTTAACACTTCAAAAAATTCATCACATCATAATTAATTCTCATTTCATCAAATCATAAATTATTTAAATCATTTCTATAAAATAAATTAATACTAGGAAGTTTAGAAAACTTACCTAACAAACAATGAGATCATAAGAAATTATTAGAAAAGCTCGATATTGTCAAATTGTGAAATAACAAAAATATCTTTTTAGGGTCAACGATACATGAAATTCATCTTTGGAAGGAACGGATCGTGTTTTGAATTGAATTAGGAATTTCTTCTCAATTAGGATTCTGAATGAGTATGGCATTCAATTGGGTTTTATTTGGTAATGGACTAAGTTATTTAGTTTTATATTATAATGGGCTAAGTTAGTAGTAGTGACGGACTAGACTAAAAGTTATTATCATTGGAACAATTATTAAGAGAAGGAAATTTGTCATAGCAATATATATATTGTAATAGAATTTGCATTATAATGCTATGAATGAAAAGTTGTAATTTTTGTCTTTTCTTTCCTATCCTTTATCCTTCTTCCTCTTTTTCTACATTCACCTTCAAGAAATGTAATAATCCACCATATCCACCATATCAACTTGTATTAGAGCCTACCTTCCTTGGTATTGCTTATATAGTAAAAAACACAAAAATGGATTATCTATATAAGTTAGAAGAATCAATGAGATCATTAGCCTATAAAACTACTAAAAAATTTGAAGAAGCAACCAAAAGTCCGAAAGACCAATTTGGAAAATGGGAGTTAGTGCATAAATAGTAAGAGAAGGATTTTACAAAGTTTAAAACCTTTCGTAGTGCTTTAATGTCCGCTTAAGCTAACAACTAAACACTATCTAGTACTATACATTGCATCTTTGTTGGTACTATTCACCCATACTATCGGAACATTTAACCTACATCCATCGAGCATTTAACCCACATCCATCAACATAAACTTTATTTTACCCACACCATCTCAGCTATCGTGAACCATCGTTTCCTACAAACCTTCACCAATAAGTAATACAAGCTAAACAACCTCTCGTCCAGATTTAAACCATTTTCCTATAAACCTTCATTAACAACCAATACAAACCAAACAACCCTTATCCGGATTTAAACCTCCGTTGCAAACCAAAAAAACCAAAGAAAGATTTTTCTACTTTTGATGGAGATGGGGTCAACAAATAGTTGTATAGATGTCATCAATTCTTTGAGATTGAATTCATGGATGAATATGAAAAGGTTCATTATGTTTTTTCTTTTTCCTTGGATGGCAAAACTATGTATTTGCATCGAGCTTACACCTAAAGCCTAGAGAAGAAGCTAACATGGAGTGAATATTTGGCTACAATGACATATAGGTTGGTGCTAAGTTAGATCCATTGGGTCAATTAAAAAATCTTTCTCAAACTTCTAATTTAGAAATATATATCTATGAATTTTATGTTTTGTGGAACTAGATCGCATTAATGAGCATCAAGCTCGAGTATGTTTACGCGAGGCCTAAGAAAAGACATTCAAGGGCCAGTATCTATGTTTGAACCTTAAACCATAATCAAAGCTTATAAGTTAGCTATAAAATAGGACAATACAAACTCATATAATACAAACATTTCCCAAAACCGAGTAGCTCCTTACTTCAACAAACTTTACCTCACTACTCCATATTTACACTAGTCATCAAAGCAAGTACAAAATCTCTTACCCCTTCCCACACTTAATTTACCCAACACTTATAAGCTACTAAACTTTCGACTAAAAATATTAACCAATAAGGAGTTTGAAGAAAAAATAGCTAAGAATTAATATTTTTGGTGTCATGAATCTTATGTCCCGGACATAGGTGTAAGCAAAAATGACTTTTCTCCATCTAGGTAATTGATAAGGGTATTGAAGAAGTACACCAAGATGAGGGCCTACAAACCGCTAAAGAATTCATAGAGGTTCACTACATATTTATATGAATGCATTAGAGGGATTTAGTGGATTTAAAACTTTAAAGAGTCTTGGGACAAATGAATAAGAAGTTACTCGCATATGTTTGGTAGATTCAGGATCTTCTCATAATTTTCTCAACTTAAAAATAGCAAACAGATTAGGGAAATGCTTGACTCCTATTAAATCGATAGCTGTTAAGGCTACCAATAAAGGTATTATGCTATGCACTTCTATATGCAAGGGTTTTCAATAGGTAATGTAGGGTGTTGAGTTTTATAAAGATGTGTTACTCATAGATTTACACAATCGTAATATGGTTTTGGGAATTTAGTGGACAATATTAAATCATGCGTATAGGCTAGGCTTGTCATTTTTGTTGTTGCGGGCATTTCTCTCCCTAGCTTGGCTTTTAGGCCGATTGAGACCTTTTGCAAAATTCGGACCGAAACCTTGGCGTAGTGCTTCGGGCTCCATCATTTGATGGAAAATAACTTTCATAGAAAAATCAATTTTTAAAGAAGCTATTTTCTTGGAAATTATTTTCCAAAAAACTATTTTATGTCGTTTGGCAATTACATGAAAAAGTTGCTAGAAAATATATTCTAACGTTTGTTTGATATAGAAAATTAAAATACAAAAACTATACGTGATTGTTATATCAACAAATTTTAAAAAAACTTCAAACGGGCATATTCATAATTTCATAATATAAGATACATTTAGAAAAATTTAATAAATTTTCATAAATACTGATCCTAAAATTTTAATTCAAAAAATAAAATATATTTTTTAACTATCAAACAATTTCATCAAAATTACTTGAGACAAAATCAAGTTAATATTCACATTTAGTTAAAAAAACAAAAATTCTAAGTAATCTTAGCATTGTTATTTGGGTAACTCAATTAAGATTTTTTTTTTTTTTTTTTGGAAATTGAACTGATAATTTTATCTAAAAAATAGTTTTATAAATTATCGATTATCATTTGTCGATAATTATTCATTTGGTTTCAACAGATTAATATTGAATAATTTGTAACTAATTATTCACTACAATTACCAACAAAATTTTGCAACTGATCAAAATTACAAATTATTAATTTAGTTGCAAACGAGTAGTGTTGAAAAAAATAATGTATTTATTAATTAATTAATTAATTTCAAATTTTTTAACAAAAAATTACAATCTTGTAATAATGATTTTTAGTCATTTAAGTATAATTTACGTAGTGTTTGAGATAATAGTAAAAAAAAAAAATAGAGATAAATTATTGAAATATTTATTATAAAAATAATTTTAAGGTGTAAAAATGAATTTTAAGAATATTTAATGTTTACGTAAATCAAAAAATTAAATATTAGTAGAAATAGAGAAAAAATAATTAAATAACCAATAATAATTGATAAGGAATAATTAAAAATTAATTTGATATATTTTAAATAAAAAAAATATAGAGAAAAAATTATTAAAATATATCGAGAGAGAGGTAAATAACGTGAGAGCGAGACAAATCATGAAAAGGAAAATGATTTCCTCTTTTTTAACTAGGAAAATATTTTTTCAAAAATACTCTATCATTTTTCGTTGACAAAAAATCGTTTTTCGTTAATTTTTTTCTAAACACAAAACAAATACTGAAAAAAGAGAAAAAAATTCCTACAATTTGTTTTTTCCCATAAACAAACACAGCCTTAATGTGCTTTGGGTCTCAAACCTTCTATAGCTTAATCGCATTAATCGTCCGTATATATTCTGATTTTTTGTAAGTGAATCCTATTTTTTTATTCATCAATTCCTTTTTTTTTTAATTTTTGTTAATGTAGCATCCTTAACTAATTTCTCATCTATTTTTTTCTATCAAAACTGACAGCTGCCATAAAAAAGTAGACAGAAATTAGCTGGAAAAAAAATAAAAAGAAAAAAAAAGTTCATATTTTATGAAACCCTAAATTGGGAATCCATTTTAGGCAGCCTTTTCTTCCCTGCAAGTTTCCAGCTTCAGTATCTGGGGAGAGAGAGAGAGAGAGAGAGAGAGAGAGAGAACAAAAAAAAAAAAGAGTAGAAAAACACAACCCACCTGGAAAGAGAAGCTCAATGCAGAAGAATCTCTACGTCATAAAAAACAAGAAGAAATAGCAACTGATTTCAAGATATGAAGCTGAACAGTAAATGATGATGAGCCAATACTGGTAGTGGATAATGGAAAAGACTTCATGGTCTTTTTATGTTTGAGGTGGGGTTGGGTTGATGCAAAATAAGAAGAAATGATACCCCATTTCTATCAACACATCAAGATTTGGTTATATGATTCCTTCCAATTCCAACATTAGCAATATCCATTATATATATATATATATATATATATATAACATGAATTAATTACTTTTAGGCTTGCCAACAGGAGGAAATTCAAAAAGAGAACGAGAAAGCTGCTTATGAGCAAGACCAATATCAACCAAGATCAACCCAGAAGATGGATAATTGACTTTAAAATTAGAAACAACATAATCTATTATGCTAAATCAAACAATAATATCAAACTCAATTTTCAAAACCCATTGCTCTAAATCACACAACCTTCTTCTTCCTTCTAAACAAATTACAACAGCTAACGCCATCAACATTGCTAGAGAAGCAACAAAAACCATCAGCTTTTTCTCTCTTCAATCCAGTAACAAAAACCTATTAACAATAGCATTAGCCCACCAAAACTCACTACTTTTTTCAATCCCTTTCTTCGTCTTCGCAATCCATTTCTCTCCTGTTTCTGTCCCTCTTTTAACCGTCCCATATACAAACGATTCTGTTAAAAGCATATTTTGAAAATTCTTGCAGTGTTATAAATTTGGTTGGTGAGCGGAATCGTTTGTGTGAGGAGAAAAATATTGTTGAGAATTGATTCGAAGGAAAAGAGGAGAATTGATGAGACTTTGGTTTTGATTGACGTAGTTGGATAGAGAAAAGACTTTTTTTTATTTTTAAAGATTTTTTTTTCTTTTCATCAAAATAAAATTTATTTATTTTTTTCTTTGTTTGTTTTTTTCAATTTTCTCGAGTGGCAAAAAGTAATCACGTGTGTTATGTTACGTGGATTTTTTAAATATCACATGTTAGTATTGATATGAAAATTGACCGAAAAGCAATTAGAGAAATAACATTACAAAAGAAAATAAAAAAAAGGTGAATAAAAGAAATTTACATGACCTACCTCAAGAAAATTAAAAGGACAGATAGACGATTAATCCAACCTTCTTCTCTGCCGTCTGATCAACAGATCTACTACGTGTCGGTGTAGGCATCGAACCATGTGGAAAAAATCAGAAGCAAAGGTTCCCCTCCACCACCCGCTGCTCAAAATTTTCTCCACTAGGGTTTTTGCTGTTGAAACCTATCCATTAAGGTTAAAAATAAAAATAAAAATACTTCTCCCTTCCACTTCCAATCTGCTTCTAAAAATCAAGCAGATCCATCCTCCATCTGATCAGAATTATAAAGCCACCAAGCCTTTTCTTTTCCCTTAACTGTAACTTTTTTTTTCTTTTGTACTTTTTTAGTATTTATTGTTTTGGTTTATCGAGATGGGAAGAGGAAAGTTTAAGGGGAAGCCTACCGGTCAACGCCAGTTCTCAACCCCCGAACAGATGCGTAAGATTGGCTACTTTTCTTTTTCTTTAATCTCAAAATTGTGGGTTTCTTTTATTTTTGTCAGTGGATCTGGATTCTCTGAAAAATTGATGATTCTGTTAGCTTATTTTGATGTATTTGTTATGCTAAAAATTTTTTGTTTATATTTGATTTTCGTTGTCTAAAAGAACATGTTCTTTTAATTATTTAGGTATGTATACTTTTTTTTTTTTTTAATGTGGAAAATTAAGCATGTTAGCCATAGATAATGGATTGATTCTCTTCTGATTTTTGTATCAATGTCTGGTTCCAGCAATGTGCTAAAATTATATATCAGGTTTCGCTAATTTTTAGGTTGTAATAGTTTTCAATTTTTGGAGAATTTCTTTAGCATATAGTGTGATTAGCGAATTAAGAATTTATTGAGTTTTTTAATTTTTTTGCTTTGTAATATTTGAATTATTGCAGTTGCTGGCACCTCGACACGTCCTCGCACGTTTAAACGGGTCGGTCTCTGAGCTTTGATTAGTAATTATATTTAGAAATAATTGTCTTTGGAGTTTGTTTTGATTCTTATATGCATTTTTCGTACTGTGTAAGAGAGTTTGTCTTTAAAATATTTAGGAGGAAGCTGCTTATGAAGAAGAAAAGCGGGAAGAGGAATCTGAAGAGGAATCTGAAGAAGAATCTGAAGATGATTCTGATGTTAGTAAATAATAACTGTCTACTATTACATTTTATTTTATTTGGAATGGCTTGTTAATCAGAAATCACCTTTTGTTTTATTGTTGAATAATGTGTAGCAAAAGCGGAAAGGAACTCAAGGTGTTATTCAGATTGAAAATCCTAATTTGGTGAAAGCGAAGAATTTGAAAGCTAGAGACATTGATGTAAGATTCGGGATCATTATTGTTTCTACTTTTTTTTTTATTATTATTATTATTGATTAAACTAGATGGGGAAGTAATGTTATTGTTTGGTGTTTTCAGACTGGGAAAACAACAGAGCTTTCAAGGCGTGAAAGGTTAGCAAATGGGATTTTTCATATCTACTATTGAAAGGAAGGAATTCATTATTCAGATTTAGATAAGACTATTACCCTGTTATGGTCTTTTGAAAACAGGGAATAAGATCTTGCTATTAGGATTCTATCTTTGGAATGCTAGATGCTACCTGAATTTTTTTTTCAACTCTGCTTGCTTCAATTTGTTTGCAGGGAGGAGTTAGAGAAACAAAGGGCTCATGAGCGATATATGAGGCTGCAAGAACAAGGGAAAACAGAACAAGCTAGGAAAGACTTAGGTAAGAGATTATATTTTCTTGGGGGTCTAATGTGAACATTATGTTTTTAAATATGGGTTGAGATAATTATGGATTTTTTATTTGCCACATTAGCGTATTAGGAAGTGAAACAGTATGAATCTCTAAAGATTTAGATGTCATAATGGTGCTATTATCTGGTGTGACATGGTTAGCATACCTCGGGCTTGTATGCTTATCCCACTAATATTACCCCCTAACCATATTTACAGCCCAATCTCTTGAGGTTTCTGTACTTGTTTGTTTGAGATGGATTTGGTTGAAGGACATTTCTTTTCTTCCGTCTCCAATTATTTGTAGCCCTCATTTTCCCCATATTTGTAAGTTTTATGTTCTATTTTACATGCAGAACGATTAAGTCTCATACGCCAGCAAAGGGAAGAAGCTGCTAGAAAGCGAGACGAAGAAAAGGCTGGTAAGATTAAGTGGCCCTTGGAGAAATTGGTTTGCCTGCCATTTTTTTCTTATTTTCCTGCAAATGATAGAAACTCTGTTTTTTCAGCCAAGGAGCAAAAGAAAGCAGAAGCTCGGAAATGACAATTCGAGTGAAATATCAACTACTAGTGCCCTCCATAATGTGCTGAAAGAACTGCTAGTCGGTTTATAATTGTCCTTTGTCTGTGTGCCGACATAAACTTGTTGCCAATGTTTTTGTCTTTGAAAAGCAAAAAAGATTATTTTCATGATTTTAGAAGGTTGAACTTAATTTGTATACAAGAATATTTTGTATTGTATTTGAACAGTTAGGAGGAGCATTTGATGCCTATTCTGAACTCCATCCAGTTCTCCAATCTATTTGTTCGTGGCGTTCTACTTGTCTCAACTATTAGGCCCAACCGCAGTTTGAAGTATGATATCAAAATTTGTTTATCTTATTGAACATGATTTGTTACTTTTGGCTACCCACGAGAGTGGAGAATTTGGTTATGGCATGTTTTTTAACTGCAAGCCCTCAACCGTCTGATGTTGTTGGGGTTGTTTGTGTGTTCAAAAATTGGCGGTCTAACACAAGGTTTGGATGAGATGGTCACCAGCACCGCCGTGAAAATTTTGGTATGGTGTCAAGTAACTTGGGTTCTAAGTTCGGTCACCTTAGAAGCAATTTAGGTCACATTTAGAATGGTTGTCTGATTTTATAGTTCCATGCTCAACGCGCTTCCTCAAAAAAAAAATAAAAAAAAATAATAATAATGATAATAAATAAATAAAATAAAAAATACTATAGAACTAGAAGACTTGGATAACGCAGTAAATTTCAATGTGGTTATTTTGGCCAGGATCCCTTTTCTTAAATTAAATTCAATTTCTGATTAAAAAAAATAAAATTGTATCACTTTGAACGAGTAAAATGTAAAAACAGGTTAGTATGTCCTATTTTTTTAAATATCCTAACCGTGTCCTTGTGTTAAAATTTTCAACTATCGTGATCCTCTATTTTTAATTGCGTTTGCATTTGATCTATTTGATTACTTTTTCGAGCAAAGAAGGCACAAATAACAAAATAAAAAAGTCGAAAGTTGTCTTTGTTGCTTGAAAAAATAATCGGAGTGATCAAATGTAGACGTAATTAAGAATAGAAGGACACGATTAAGACATTTGAAACAGATCCGATTTATTAATGGAGATAATTTTACAATCCGATTTATCGATTGTCATTTTGATAAAACAATTTTTTCAACATTAGAGGAAGAGAATAAGAAAAATAAGCGATTAGAAAAAAAAATTACATGGAGCACTCGTCTTATATCATCTTGATCCTCGTATAAAATAATATGAACTAAAAGTTCAATACAAGGATGCATTCTTAGATCTTAAATGAGTAACTAAAATCATGTCCCCGTCGAGAATGCTCCTATTAGAATTGATGTCTTAGAAGGACAATTTATTAATGTTGTGGCAAATGAATCTAAAGCACACTTGAAGCGTGAAAGACCGATTGGTTCTAAAAGCAAAAATCTCCAAAAGAAAAGGCCAAATAATTAAAATAAAGGATGCAAATATTCATAAAACGGTTCAAGATATTTCGATAATAGGCTTCGAAAGAAGTCCAAATGCTTGAAAAAAATCAATAGACTTTGACAAATTATGTCAATACGGGGAGAAAATAGGAACGAAAAGAAATATTTATTGATAAGATTTTTGTATATAATGTTTCAATTGATATCTTGAATGAAAATAATGATCCTAAACCTAAATTTATTAAAGAATGTCAATATAAAAATGACTCGACCTAAATGAAAAGTGCAATTGAAGCAGAATTATATTCTTTTACAAATGAGTAGTTTTTGAATTCATAATCAAAACACATGAAGATGTTAAGCCAATGAAATAAACATATGTATTTACACGAACATGAAATAAGAAAAATGAGATTGTAAGATACAAAGTAAGACTTTTAACACTAGAGTTTTTGCAAAGACTCGATATTGACTTTGATGAGACATATTCTCCTATAATTGATGTAATTATATTTTGTTATCTTATTAGCTCGACAAAATATGTAAAAAAAAATTCATATGCATGCATTTAATAACCGTAATCACGACTTATTTGTTCAATTGAAAATTATATTTATATAAAAGTCCTAGAAGGACTTAAGATGCTTAAAGCATGTAATACATATTCTCGATAAATGAATTCACTTAAATTATAGAGATCTCTATTAAGATTATTTTAGTATTAGTTTTATTATTTTAGTTTTTAAAAATTCAATTTATGCTATAACTTTTTATATTTTTTTATTTTTTAATATCTACTTATTATTACGAACCTATGTGCATGTGGTATAATTGTTTCAATAAATATTTATTGAAAGAAAGTTATAAAAATAATCATATTTATTCATGTATTTTATAAAGAAATTCAAAAAAGGGTTCGTGATAGTTGCTATATATGTTGATGATTTAAATATTATTGGAACTTCTAAAGAAATTCCAAATGTCATAAGTTATCTAAAAGGAGAATTTGATATGAAATAACTTGAAAAACAAACTTTTATCTTAACCTGCAGTTTGAGCATTTAAAAAATAAAATTTTTATTCATCAATCAATTTATATAGAAAAAGTTCTATACTTATTCTATATAAAGCTCATCCATTGATTGGCCCAATAGTAGTTCGTTTACTTGATATCCAAAAAGATCTTTTTTCGACTTCGAGAAGATAATAAAAAATTATTTGATTTTGAAGTATCATATCTTAGTGCAATTGATGTATTGATATATCTTGCTAATAATATTCGACCTAATATAGCATTTTTTATAAATTTATTAGCAAGACATAAGTTTTGCTCCGATACAAAGACATTGGAATGGAATTAAATATTTTCTACGTTATCTCTAACAAAAAATTGATATGGTATTTATTTTAGTTAAATAAATCAAAATTAGGTTTAATTGATTATGTAGATGTAGATTATTTATTTGATCCTTACAAAACTTGACCACAAACGGATTATGTATTTACACTTGGTGGTATAGCTATATCGAAGTTCTATGAAGCAAACTATAGTTGCTAAATATTTAAACCATGAAGAAATACCAATTCATAAGGCAAGTCGAGAATGTGTTTAGCTAAGATCAATGATCCATCATATTCGAGAGACATATAATTTATTTACCGAGTAAAAGAAGTTTCAACTATATCATTTGAAGATAATGCTACTTGCATAATTCAATTAAAAAAAGAATTCAATTAAGTGACAATTCAAGCAGATTTGTTCACTAAGGTATTACCTATCACAACTTTTGAAAAGATGATTCACAAGATTAAAATCGTCTTAGAGATCTCAAATGATGTTTTCACTAGGAAGAGCCCAACATTGAGATTAATGTGTATAAGAACTATTATACTCTTTTTCTTCATTAGGATTTTTTTTCCATTACGTTTTTTCTTAGTAAGGTTTTAACGAGGTATGCTCCTTATACGATGAACATTCAAGGGGAGACTCCATTTCATATTCTCATTATTTATGTGATTCAATTCACCATTCAATATGAGAAATTAAAAAGATGATGCAATTTATTCAATTATTATGTATCTTTTAATGATTCATAATCCCTTCTAATTCTCTTCCTAATCTTGAAGCCTATAAATAAGGTTGATTATTTATTAGCTTGTGTACAAGTATATTGTAGAGATTGAGAGATTATTTAAAATTGTTATCTCTTGTATTCACTTCATCTTATAGTGAATTCATTTTAATGATTCATAGTCCCTTCTAATTTTTTTTCCTAATCTTGAAGCCCATAAATAAGGTTGATTGTTGTATTTTGTAGAGATTAAGAGATTATTTAAAGTTATCATCTCTTGTATTCACCTCATTTTATAGTGAATTCGAGAGAGATATAGTTTATCTATTAGTAAAAGAAGTTTCGACAATATTATATGAAGATAATGGTACTTGCATAATTCAATTAAAGGAAGAATTCAATCAAGTGACAATCTAGTAGATTTGCTCACTAAGGCATTACCTATCATAATTTTTGAGAAGATGATTCGGAAGATTGAAATCATCTTAGAGATCTCAAATGATGTTTTTAATAGGGAGAGCCCAACATTGAGATTAATGTGTATAATAAATATTGTACTCTTTTTCCTTCATTAGGATTTTTTTCATTGGGTTTTTTCCTATTAAGATTTTAACGAAGCATGTTTCTTGTATGATGGACATTCAAGAGTGAGACTCCATTTCATAGTCCCATGATTTATGTGATTCAATTCACCATTCAATATGAGAAATTGAAAAAGTGATGCAATTTATTCAATTATTTATGTATCTTTTAATGTTTCATAGTTCCTTCGATTCTCTTCCTAATCTTGAAGCTTATAAATAAGATTGATTGTTTATTAGCTTATGTACAAGTATTTTGTAGAGATTAAGAGATTATTTAAAGTTTTTATATCTTGTATTCACTTCATCTTATAATGAATTCATTTTTCTATCATCTTTCTCTTCAATTCTATTATTGTTATAATTTTTTTATAACATGATTGTCTTTTTTAATTTTATTTTTTGTATGAACTATTATCTTTTTATTATAGTTTAAAATTTGATACAAGATGATACAAGATAAAATGGAGTAGGACGGACGTAAAGAATTAAATGAGGCATTGGTGTCCCATAGGAATGAGGATGGTAGAAAAAATATTACCTCGCTTCATTGCCATTCCTAATGATTGCTAGGTATTGGGATGGTTCTTGCGGTTGATAGATGGAGGAAATGGGTAAAAGGTGAGAAAAAGTTTGTGATGGGATGTTGTAATTGCATTTGCGGCATGTTTTCAACTAGCTTCTCCACCATTATGTAGAGATTTTAGGTTTTAAGGCCAAAGATTTTGAGCGTACAAAATTTTATTTCAAATAATGTATTTGAGCCTAATTCTCTCGCTTCTATTTTTTAATATAAAATATTGTTTCAAGATAATTTCAATTATACTTAATTTGGAGGACTACAACATACAAACACTTCTCAATTTATAAGTTAGTTTGATTGACCCTCTTTAATTAATTAATTAATTAAGAAAAAAAGAGATATCAATCAAAACATTCAATAGTTCGAAATTGAAATAAAAAAACAAAAACAAAAATTAATTCGGGAGATATCTATCATAACATAAGAAGTTATTTATTCGGATTAACCAAACATACGAATGATGATTCTAATTAAATGAGCTCGTTAACAAAAGGAAAATAAAGATATAAATTTATTATTATTATTATTATCATCATCATCATTATTAAAGGATAGAAGCTTTTGAAGAACCTTGGAAAAAACAAGATCATCTCTCCAAACTGTGAGCAAGACAAGTGGCAAATTACTAAGAAGATTAAGACACAAGACAACTAGGGATGATAATTTGCCCTGCTCCCATGGAGCCCCGCCCCGTTTCGCCTTGGTCAATGCGGGAATTCCCTGTGTTGATTGGGGAACGAGGAGGGGCGGGGCGCCTCGTGAATGGGGATGGTATTTACCGCCTCATCTCGTTTGTCCCATTTTATGATTTCATCTTTAAAATTATAATTAAATCCTATACAAAATCTATAACTAATGATTTTTAGGTTTATTTTCTATATGAAATATTATTTTTTTTATAATTTAAAATTTGATAATAAAATAAGATAAAAAGAGACGAGAAAAAAAATTAATTTTTATCTCGTTTGTCCTACCAGTTCCGTGTGAGGATCCTCATTTTTGTTTGAGGCAGTAATAATATTATAAATTTTGTCCTGTTCGGAGCATGGGGATCTAGGGAATGGGGTAAAATTTTCAGATGTGGAGTGAGCCATTGCCATCTCATAGACAACCGAAACAAACTCAAAGCAACAAAGCTCAAACATAAGCAGCCACTCCAAAAAGGGTGTAATAGCAACTAGAGCTTTACCATGACAGACCCCCAAAACCCCAATCCTCGAGACCTTCCTTCTTCATCTAATGAAAACCCCACCGATATAAAACCCGGCAACGGTTCCGCCAATTACTCGAATCAGAAGGTCCATTTCCCGAACCCACCCGAGTCAACAAATCCGGACCCTGCGACACTGAGGGAACAATGGAGGTTTGCTATTAAGCAGTACAGTAAATGGTACTCTCACGCTTGGGGCACCGCTATTCTGGCTGGTGTTTCCTTTTTCGCGCTTGGCTGGTTCATCAAGGGATCCAATCCTTTGCCCTCTTTCAAGACTGACGATTCCTCCTCCTCTTCTTCTTCGCCTTCTAATGATGCTAAAGAAAAGGCAACCCAATAATTCGTGAGTGTCCATTTATTTTTAATGTTTTCATGTTTCTGGTTTGATTTCTGATCTGGGTTCTTGCTGATTTTAATTTCTGAGCTTGGTCTTTGATTTCAAAATTTTTGTTTGTGTTGATGTAGGTATATTTTCAATGAATTCTGATTAATCTTAGTGGTATCAAGAATAATTAAGTAATTTATAGCTTCGAGTTATATAAATGGAATGGAATGACCTATTTTATGCACAATCAAGGTTTGATTGAACATTGTGATGATATAGTGTCATTTATTGGAGTATGGTAAGAACTGCTGAACAATTATATAGAGCAACAGCTGAGAGTTATCTGAGAGGCTTGAATCATGAATGTGACCTGGCTTATAGGATGGTGCAAAGGGTTGCTCTGTGAACTTTGATTAATTTGATGGAAGTTGGTTAGGTGGTCATCTGCTGCCGAATTATTAGATACACGGCAACTGAATTCTATAGACCTACTGTCATCATAAATAGACTTCTTATTTATGTTCTCGTTCCTATGTCTTTGTAACCTTTGGACTCAAATATGACTTTGGTGGCGGATTGTGGAGCTTCCTGTCCTCTTTTGGCTCCTCAAAAGTTTTGAATTCCATGTGAACTGCAATTTGGTTTTTCCTTGAAGACTATTTATGTTCCATTGGGAATTATCATTATGGAATCTTCTTTTCAAAGGTGGAATCATAACGTTATTGGTCTTATACATTGGATGTTTGTGAAAGCACCGCCATAAAGCAACGGGTGTGCAGCCTATTAAAATTTTCCAATGTTGGTATGTGTAGTAGTTGATCGTCATTCATAGAATGATCTGATTCCCATTGGTTTACATGGCACCTGGCCTGTAATCACTTCTGTCATCTATCTTTGATTCCTTTCATCTGTTTTCTTCTACCTTTACTCTCATAGCTGGGTTTTACCAAAAGCTTTAGTGGTTGATCTCCATTGATTCTCGAGCTGTCGTAAATGAAATCAATTCTTCTTTAATAGGGATAAGATTTATCGCTGTTATTTTGGGGTTTCTCCTTCTCCCTCGTTAGATTACTGATTCATGATTGAACTACGTTTTGCAGTTGCACAAGAATAAAATGGAGATCAGTCACTGTATCGGCAGGTTTTAGCAACTAAGTTTCTTGCTGTTTTTGAAGTACAGTTTTTTTTTATAAGCGTGTCTTACTTTATGTTCAAGTAATGTGATTTGTAAGCTGATCATGTGATTTTGATGTACAGTTTTTTATAATTGTGTAGTACTTTATGTTAAAAGTAATATGATTTGTAAGCTGATCATGTGGATGTCATCGGGGATTCATAATTTGATCTTTACCTATATATTCACTAATCCCTACACTTGACCTTAAATTCCCAGATTGAATGTTTGATCAAGGGGAAAAGAGATGGAAGTTGAAAAGATTTGTCTTTGAACTAAAATGCTTGCCAAGAGAGATGAGGCCTCATTTCTTATTGTTTTCTTTGCTAGAAAATTATTGCGCTATGCTAGCGTACAAGTGCCTGATAACAACATTGAACATTCTATTTAATTATTTGTATTAACATTTACAGAACAATATTCTTAACACATTTATGACCCAGACAACTGAACAGTGGGACGAGGGAACAGAAGCAAAGGCTTTAACTGAATAAGAGAATGAGTAAAAAAACTGATTGTTTTTTAAGATCCAAAATGGGCTAATCTCTAGTTCTTAAAAACATAGTAACGTTTAAACAATTGAATTTTTTTGTCAACATAGCATATTGTCACATGGTGGATAAACCTGAATGATATGAACAGGGCATGGAGTTCCAAAGACGACAATCTGAAGGCCCGCTCTTCATGATTAAAGCTAAGAAAGTCTTGAAAAAGAAACCTTCCAAAGCTTTTCAATACTCAAGACGAGCAACATCCAGCCTTTTTCACAGCCGAAACATCATCTCTGCTTCCAACATTAATTGTCTGTCCTTTAGGCAAATATGTTGGGTCATCTCCAACGTCAAGAGCCTTCCTGCTTACGACACGGCAGATCTGTGTCAGCACCTCTGTGAAAGCGTTTTCAACATTCATTGATTCAAGAGCGGAAGTCTCCATGAAAAATGTACTCTCTCTTTCGGCAAAACCCTTTGCATCTTCAGTCGCAACCGCTCGGAGGTGGCGCAGGTCTGCTTTATTTCCTACCAGCATGATCACATTGTTGGCTTCTGTGTGATCTCGAAGCTCCTTTAGCCATCTCTCCACATTTTCGAACGTAACATGGCGGGTTACATCATAGACTAGTAAAGCTCCAACTGCCCCTCGATAGTATGCACTTGTGATAGCACGGTATCTTTTGACCCCCCAAAAAAAAACATCATAGAATATTAAAATGAGATAGAAACATTAGACAAGATAGGAATTGCTAGAATCTATTCATCTAAAATGACTATTATAAGGAAAGATTACAAACATTAATTACATTCTAAATCGTCAAAGTAGCCTTCATTCTCATAATTTATTAAATTCTTAAGTGTCATTTGATTATTATGAATGAAAAATCCAAAATGAGAATACAAAAATTCAAATGAAAATTAAAAAATCAAAATAACATTTATATTCTATTATGTTTAAAATTCTAATAAAATATTAACGATCTAAATACAATTTAAGGTAATGCTGTTGATCCCTGAAAATCAACTTTACATAACCTGGCCCCGGGCATGGTACAAGTGCATGTAGTTACGATTGGACAGTCGTGTCACTGTGCATAGCATTTCTTTGGCTGTCAAAATTGCCAGCCTAACAGCACTAATGCACGTGACAATTCATTATATCGAATTTTGCACACTTGATCAATCTATCGAGGTATTGCCTAAAACTTTCTTAAAAATTTAATATTTCAGTAATTGAAAATTCAAGAAATACCAATTTTCCAATCCAAATAATCAATCAAAATCACAAACCCACATTTTTATAAACAATCAATCAGGACATGAAACAAAAAAGAAACAATGTGGGTTAAGAGGGATTGAATTGCATCGGAGATCCATAAGAAATAAAGAGGAAGGGAATGCGGGTAACCTTTCTTGGCCAGCCGTGTCCCAAATCTGGGCCTTGACGATTTTATCATCAACGCGAATGCTGCGGGTGGCAAACTCGACGCCAATGGTAGATTTGGATTCGAGACTGAATTCATTTCTGGTAAAACGAGACAAGAGGTTCGATTTGCCAACGCCTGAATCACCGATCAATACCACCTTAAACAAGTAATCGTAATCATCGTCCGCTCTGTACGCTCCCATTTGATGGGTTTCTTTTTCTTTTTTATGTCGTTTTATTCTGTTTTTAATTTTATATTGAACTGGTCAGCTTTTTAAGGTTTGGACAACGAGTGGGAAAAGACTAAGGAGGAACAAAAGCAATGTCGTTTTCTGAAACACGAGTTGGTCTGCGAGTGGGCTTTTTTTACTTTGCTCTGTTTGATAGGAGCAATTATAGGCTTTTTATTTGGATTAATATTATATGTTTTCCCCCCACTTGCATCAATTATATACCAATACTTAGTTGAAACTCAAAATCCTAGCAGAGCTAGCCTGAAAAATGATTTCTTTTCAATGCAACATCGGTTAAGGTGTGGCTTACTTAAACATTCGATTAAAAAGAATTATTATTAATATTATTCATAATAATTAATCCTTTTGAGTTTTGAGAGCTTGGTTAGCTCCATCATTTTATTTTAATTATCATTCATTTCTTTTAATTCCATCTTCTTCACTTAACCCCGGACTTGAAGATCTACTAGAAAGATGTGCCCAAACTTTAAGATCTACTAGCAAGGCGTCACACCTCTAAATGTAAAGCCACATGTAACTTGTCTAAATCAATAAAAAAGGAACTAAGAGAGTGAAAGTCTGAATTCAAACGGGGTATCAATATTGACTCAGAAGACCACCGGCTTTAGAGTGAAAAAAAAATAATAATAATAAAGTTGGACCACTACAAGAATCTGTGCCATTTATCTGGCTAGAAAAAAAAAGGCCATTGGTAAAGTAGATTGCTATCACAAACTCGAAATTAATAAGCGAATAATTTTCATACTTTTTGACAGGTGTGGGTCCTACATTATAGGCTAGGTGATTCTCTTGTGATCTGTATAATTTGGCCGAGGCTTCCTGCACATTGCATCCATCCGCAACTTCTGTTTGCTCCTATTAAGCCATAAATATAATTGAAAGAGAGGAATAAAAAGAAATATAAAAGATATGTTAGGCTGCATAACTCTTAGCAGTGATGTTGTATTGTGTTTATATATAAGATTCTATAAATTATAAAAATTTCTTTATAGTACATTAAATACGTTATAAAAAATATCTTAATTGCTATAATATTTGCAACATTATGGAAAAATATATTTATAACTTAACATACCTTCTCAAGCTTAGGAGGGGGAAAAATCAACTCAAAGTTTGGATATAAGCATAAAGAATCAATCAACAATCCAAGATTCAGTAAAAACATCAACAATTTGATCCCGAGAGGCAATGGAATTAACAAAAACAAGATCCTTAGTTGATCTCTGACAAAATCAGATTCAACCTCAATATGTTTAGTACGAACATGATATACATGATTATGAATAAGTAATTAACACTAAGATTATCACACTAAAGAATTGGGGAAGATGGAGGATCAATAGCCAGCTCACAAAGAAGTGGTTGAATTCAGAGCAATTCGGTAACACCATCACAAGGCTTCGTGTTCAACTTTAATCAATGATCGAGAAACAGTCCATTGCTTACCAGATTTCCAGAAGACCAAATTATGTCCGAGAAAAATGGGATAGCCACCCATAGACTTGTGATCATCAATCCCAGCCAATATTAATAAAGGCATGAAACCAAAAAGAGGAGTGGCGGCTAATATGAAGATCATGATTAATAGCGTATTAAAGTAGAGAATTCATTTAACAGTCATCCAAAAAGAGGAGTCGCGGCTAAATACTCATGCTCCTTATTAGTCAGACAAGATGATCATTGGAGAAAAAAAAAAAAAAAATTTAATGGTTTGGCATAGAAAATACAGTTTTCTCAAGAAATGTATTTTAGTTTTCTCACACCAATTGTATCGCCCCTTCTTTTACCCTGATCTATCTCTTATTTATTATAAATATATTTCATGCATTTCTTATTCTTTTATACTATTTATATATACGTGATCTCTCAAAACTTATTTTAGATATATAATTCTAAATCCCAAAAACATCAACAATTCTTCTTGTTATTATGCTAATTACACAAGCAATATTAACAATGCATTGACTTCTTAATTTAATTCATATTTTATTTATTACTTCTATCATTATTGTCACCGTTATAAAAATTTTACACTTTTAATGTCTAAACCAAAAAGCTTGACTACTAAAATTATTCATGTTGACTTTATTCCATCCCAACCTATTATAAAAAAATTCAACATTGGCCACAAAAAACTTATGTCACCCATGATATGCTTGTTGATCTCCCTCTAGAGAAAGTAATTTTTTATTTTTGTAATCTCCTTGGGCAACCATTTATTATGCGAATGACAATTATAATTAGACCTTTTTATGTCTTTTGTTTTTCTAGATTTAATTTTAATTGAACTTTATATATATATTTGAGATAAATGACATAATGTTAAATTTATTTATACAATTAAAAGGGTTTAAAATTTTTTTAAAAGTAATTTTTCAACTGATATAGATTACTAAAAAATTATCTATAATAAGTAGAAAAAGCCACAAGCATGATATAAAAAATATTTATTAGTAATACAATTAAGTGAAATTTATAGGACTAATTTTGCAATCTCAAGACAGTAAATTTCTTGAGAAAATTGCATTTTTGGTGCCAAATCTTTAATATATATTTTTTTCTATTTTGGTGTCTAACAATTAATTTTTTTTCCTCTTTAAAGGCATAAAATCACCTGAAAGTATGAATTATTAATATATATGGAGATGACTGCCATATGATTTTTTTTTCACAATCAAATGACATTTTACTATCACGTGGTAATTAAAAAATATCTCATGATAAAAATCGTCGGACATGTCAGCAATTAATAATTTCAGTTTGATACCAAAATAAAACATATAACAAAATTAAAAATTAGACCCCAAAAATGCACTTTTTCTATTAGTTATTAGCAACCGACTCTCATTTCCTTACTTAAGAAGCTTAGTCGTTATAAGTGCACATCTCTTTATCAGTTACTTACAACCGACTCCCATTTCCTTGCCGAACAAGCATAAGTCGCCTATAAATACAAACTCAAAAACCCCCATTTCTCATCAACCGCGAGTGACGGCAATCCACTAGCCAAAAGCCGTCTCAAAAAAAAAAAAAAAAAAAAAAAAAAAACAGATCCCCAATTTCACAAACTTTGCTACCATCGCCATGTTTTCTCCGTCAAGCATGCCTCAATCAGTATCCACGTTATTCTCTGCTTATGCCTCTTTTGCAGCATCAATGATGCTTGTTCGTTCCATAGCAAATGAAGTAGTTCCTCATGAACTTCGCTCTTATTTATCTACTGCCATTTACCACCTCTTCACTCCTCTCTCCCCTCACATCACCCTTGTCATTGATGAGCGTTGTGGCATCTCTCGCAACCAAGTTTATGATGCAGCAGAGATCTTTCTCAAATCCAAAATTAGCCCATCAACAGAAAGACTCAAAATCGCCAAAACACCCCGTCAAAAGACCTTCTCTGTCGCAATCGAAAAAGGTGAGGTAGTTACAGATGTGTTCGAGAAAATCAAGTTGAAGTGGGTTTATGTCTGTACAGAGCCACAAAACAACAGTCACTCCGGAGAAAAAAGGCGTTTTGAATTGTCCTTTAACAAGAAGTACAAAGAGAAAGTGATGGATTGTTACTTGCCTCATGTTTTGAAGAGGGCTAAAGAGATAAAAGATGAAGAGAAGGTTGTTAAGCTTTATAATCGTGACTGTCCTTTCGATGATGAGGATGGGAATGGTCATGGTGGCATGTGGGGGTCCATAAATCTCGAACATCCTTCTACATTTGATACTTTAGCTCTGGATCCAGAGTTGAAGAAGATGATAGTTGATGATTTGAAGAGATTTTTGGCAAGAAAAGAATTTTATAAGAAAGTGGGCAAGGCTTGGAAACGTGGGTACTTGTTGTATGGACCACCGGGTACTGGAAAATCAAGCTTGATTGCTGCCATGGCTAATTATCTCAAGTTTGATATCTATGATTTGGAGCTAACTAGTATATATTCTAATTCTGATCTGAGGAGTGTTCTTCTGTCCACCTCGAATCGGTCTATTTTGGTGATTGAGGATATTGATTGTAGTGTGGAAATGCAGGAGCGGCAACAAGGAGGGGATCAGTACGGTGGTTCTAACTCCAGGGTCAGTACTCCTTTCTCTTCAAGCTTAAAATTGTCTAATCTGTCAATTTATATTGGTTTTGCACGAAATAGCCCAATTTGTTAATTTGATTATTGTGCGTCATTTTTGCAGTTAACACTGTCTGGATTGCTGAATTTCATTGATGGATTGTGGTCAAGTTGCGGTGATGAGCGAATCATTGTGTTCACTACTAATCATAAGGACCGGATTGATCCTGCTTTGTTGCGGCCTGGTAGAATGGATGTGCATATTAACATGTCTTACTGTACACCTCAAGCATTCACCACTCTGGCCTCTAATTACCTTGACATTCGCGGCAAGAACCATCGTCTCTATGGCGAAATTGAAGGGCTAATAGAGAGTACTAATGTAACCCCAGCAGAGGTAGCAGAGGAACTAATGACAAGTGCAGATGCTGACGTTGCTCTCGAAGGACTTGTTAACTTCCTTAAGCGGAAGCATAGTGAAGCTAACGAAGTGAAGAGTGAAGAGAATGGCAAAGATGAAGATGGAGAAGCAAAGAAACTGAAAACTGATGATGATGATGAAAAGAAAATAGTTAATAAGTTTAGTGGTAGGAATAGAATTCTTCGAACCGTAAGAGGTTCAAGAAGAGGTGCAAGAAGAAGAAATTATGGGCCAAGAATGATTCCCCCATACATGTAATAAATCTGTACCTTTTCTGTATGTTGAAAATTTTTCTTATTGCAAAAATTATGAAATTCTACCTTCTCTTATTGCCCCTTTGAAAGTAGTAGCATTCATAGCACAGCTTAATTCCTTGGTTTGGATCTTCAGCGTCCACAATTCCTTCATGTTCACAATATGGCAATACAAATCCTTGACAAAGCTTAATATGATACAATAAGGAGGCCTTGCTTATCTTTCTGATGTCCGATTCTTTATGAAATGATTAGTTTACTGGTTACAAGATGCAGTGCTCTCTACTCCAATTGAGAGTCAAAAAAAAAAAAAAAAAGGAAATTTCTCTAGTAAAAATGCAGAGGAAAATTTGTTTGTCAGAGTCTATCAACAAGAAAGAAGCACTTATTGAGGCATTGAAACTCATTGAGCCTCCTTACCTTTTCTACTAATTTAGCTCTGGATTTTCAGATTCCTACAATAGAGTTGTTAGTTGTTACTGCTTCCCATTGTAAGTCCCATTTCCCGGGAATTTTTATTCTTGTCTCATTCACCTTTTTCAAATAATAGGATGTTTGCCAGTCAATTTGATTCTAATTTTTTGCAGCAGGACAAGTGATCTGTTTCAATAACATTACCTAGCCATCTGTTGTATAGGGAAGATTGTTAGCAGTGAACAAGGTCAATTGTAAGTTTCAGAGATTCAAAAGACTTGTTCTTTTCTTTTATTGAAGAATTAACTTGTTCCCCATTTAGTTAGCGTCTGCATTTTTACTTGCTGTACTGTACTTATTCTCTTTCTTGTTAATTTCTAGTTCGAATATGATGGGTTTGTAGCCAGTATTGTCAGCATTGTTTCCTTCCGTTTGTATGTGTGGGTACTGGGTTGCAATTATATTGTGGATGCTGATTAATTCTAGTGTTTTTGCCTACTGTTTGGTAAATTAACAGCCCCAAAGAGTATCCAGGTTTGACATAAATGGCTCAATCCAACATAACTAGATTGCATTTTAGCTCATACTGTTATACAGAAATGAGTTCTTGACAAGTCAACTTTCCCTACCTCTATATTTACAGTGTCGGATAACCAACTATATGAGTACTCTTTTCTGATAAGAATTACAGTGGGTTTATGCAGAAGTTCTAAAATTGAAGGCAGTTCTTATTGTTTATGTAACAGCCCCCATTTCCTATATCTGTATTACATGCATCAATTACTTGATAGTTGAGGTAGAAGTCCTGTTTTGTCCCTAAAATTGACAGTGGTTAAAGATTTTTTCTTGTTTTGTCCGTACAATTGATTTTGATTAAAGAATTTCTTTTAGAAGGAAAAAGACATGGTTGATGCTGTGGTCAATGTGTTTTTGGAAAGGCTACTGAACACTCTTGTAGAAGAAGGACGTGTGGTGAATGAATTCCGAGACCAATTTGAGAGATTACAGAATGAGTTGCAATTAATGCAATGCTTCCTCAAAGATGCAGATGAACAAAAGAGAAAGAACCAAACTCTTCTTGGGATCATGGCTAATTTGCATGAACTTATTTATGAATCTGAAGATATACTAACAGACTGCCAACTTCAATCAATGGAGGATAATCAATTTTCTAACGGCTACTTGATTGTGATGGATGACGTATGGAATCTAGATGGTAATTGGTGGAGCAGAATCTCTGAAGGGTTGCCCAAAGGTAATGGAAGTAGTTTTATCATCACTACAAGACTTGTGAAAGTCTTAAGAAAGATGCAAGTGAGTGAAGACAGGATGCATCAGCCTGAAATCCTCAACAACTATGATAGCTGGTTGCTATTTAGAAAGCTAGCATTCGCAGCAAGTGGAGGTGAGTGCACAAATCCTGAGCTAGAAAAGGTTGGTAAGGAGATTGTACAGAAATGTAACAATCTTCCCTTAGCAATCAAAGAGATTGGACGAATGTTGCTCTATAAATCACATTATCATGAGTGGAAACGAATTGCGGACAATTTTCGAGATGAATTGGGACAAAATGATGACACTGTAATGCCCTCAGTTCAATTAAGTTATGATGAGCTCCCCTCATACCTGAAGTCATGCTTTTTGAGTTTCTCTCTTTATCCAGAGGACTTTGTTATAACAAAAGAGCAACTGGTACATTGGTGGATTGAAGAGGGTTTTGTACCTGTAAGAAGTGGAAGACTATCAACTGAAGTTGGGAAGATTGTTTCTCAGGTTTAACAAATCGATGTTTGGTAGAAGTTGTTGAAAAGGCTTATAATGGAACCAAAGCAAGATTCATGATATGGTTCGTGAATTGGTTATCAAAATGGCTAAAAATGATGCATTTTTTAAGGTCGTTTTTAGAGGCTGTTGCCATTTTGGAATTCATACAAAAATGGATCCAAAGCAACTTGCTGCCAATCACAAATTACGAGCATTGTTGTCTGCAACCAAGACTGGTGAAGTGAACAAGATAGCATCAAGCATTGCAAACAAGTTCAGTGAGCGCAAATACTTGCGAGTTTTAGATCTTTGCAAAACAATTTTCGAAATGTCTCTCACAGGTCTATTATCTCATATTGGTTTCCTTCAGCACTTGACAGACCTTAGCTTAAGCAACACCCGTCCTTGATTCAACTCCCACCTTCACTAGAGAACCTTAAAAACCTTCAGATTTTGAATGTGCGTTATTGCCAAAATCTGAAAGTATTGCCTCCGTATCTCACAAACTTTAAGAAACTTAGGGTCTTAGATGTTAGTCACTGTGGCTCACTTGGATGCTTACTAAAAGGCTTAGGAAGGCTTTCAAATCTTGAAGTTCTATTGGGATTTAGACCTACCAGATCATGCCAATTAGAAGGATGTTGGATTGTTGAGTTGAGAAATTTGAGTCGACTTAGGAAACTTGGACTACACCTGGTTTGGGATGATGAGATTGGAGATAGTGAGGTCAGTGCTTTGGTAAACCTTCAACAACTTCAATTCCTAAAAATAAGTTGCTTTGATAGCCATGGTAGCAATCTTGTTGACAAACTTGATAAACTCTACCCTCCACCAGCTCCATGAGCTCTATCTGTAATTTTATCCAGGTAAGCTAAGTCCTACATTGCTCAATCCCATTTCACTTCATATGTTAAGATATCTTTCGATATCTTCTGGAAATCTTGCTATGATGCATGATTCATCTTTTGAAGATAATAATAACGTGTGAAAAATTAAGGGATTGATATTGGAGTCTCTCTCAGATTTAGAAATGGAGTGGAGAATGGTGCAAAAAGTGATGCTATCTTTGAAAATTGTAAATGCAAGTTGGTGTCCACATTTGGTGTCTTTCCCGATTGAAGATGTTACATTAAGAAGGGGTGTTTGGACAAAGGAAAAACACATAAGGTAATGTAAAATCAATGTAATTAGTTATAATAGTCTCGAGTGTCACTTTATATTTTATCTCATGTAAGATGTTTGGTTACCATCTCATGTAAATTCATTATTCTTCTTGTTGCATTGTAACGCAAAAATTAGTTTCTTTTCTATCCTTGTAAAAAAGAGCCATGCTAGCTAGCTATTGTGTTTTGCCATTTGTTGTTTGTGGATAGAATTTCTCTTGCTCTATCGGGTATGTGAGAACATTGATTTCCGGTTGTATTCCGAGTTATCTCTTTCAAAATTTACTCGATGTCGGATCGAGAGATGTTACATTCTACAAAAAACTCAACAACACAAGCAACACTCGAACAGCTCTAGGTTGAGACAATCAAAGTATAAAAAAACTTCAAACAAACCTTAACCGGACCTTAAACAACACGCAAATCATATTCAATTATCAATTCATAAGCTCCTCAAACACATAATCCAATTGGCACTCATAATCAACAAACGCATAATAACAATACCCAAAATTAGGTCAAGGGAATTCACCACCTCAATCAAATTAAAATAAAATGAAATTTTAATACAACTTAGATAGTACCTAGAAGAACTTGTATACCAAATTTCAGCTTAATCTAAGCTCTTTAACCCTCTTTTCTACCAAGTCATTTTTCTAGCCGAAGGTTTCAAAATTTACATCAACTTCCACGATCCCAAAACACAAGTAAATATTTTTTACATTTTTTGAATTTTATATAAGAGTGAAATTAACCCCTTAACTAGCTACTATCAAAATTTCAAATCAAACTAAAATTTCTAGCCTTGGTTATCGGTGTGAAGACCGAAACTATTCAATACTTTAATTCGATCACAATTTAACAAGCAACAAAACAATACGAGTTAATACAAGCCTCAATGACTCACCCTAAGAAGAGATCCACCATGTGAGCCGATTTAGAGAGTACTTAATGGATATGTTTTTTGAGAGTCTACCTACGTAATTTTGATTTTAGCCCACCTTAGTCGATCACTCTAAGGATGTGTTTACGATATCCTAACCGAGTTCAAGTGAATAAATATGCAAAAATTATAAAGAATTCAAACGAAATTTTTATTCAAACAATCATCAAAAACTTGTCTAAAAGTAGCATAAAGGTGTACTTAAATACTCACATACAAAAGCTCTAAAAGAGTCGGTTAGGATAGGAATTCTACCTTGATCGAATCTTGCTTCCTTTCCTAACGAGGACTCCTTTCTTCTCTTGACTTGGGCATGTGTCTTTCATTTTTAATTATAACTTTATTAATCAAATGTAATTAAATCTATATCCACATTACATGGACTTAAAATAAATAAAAGAATCCCTAATAAATAAGGACCCATAACACAAAAGATTATTTATCTACCAAGGCACATTAAGCCTTATCCTTATCCAACATGGAAACCCACCCAATCACATGGACTAATTTTTTTCAGCCCAAGTATTTATATATAAAATTAACTTAACTAATTAAAATTTCATCCAAATAATTGAAAGATAATATAAATAAATAAAGGCCTTAAAATTAATAAGAAAATGGCTGAAAGTTTTGGCCACTTGAGAGTGTTGAACTTTTAGCCAAGTGGGAGGGTGGATGCTCCCGCATCATACTCCTTAGGTTGAATAAGAGTCGACCTCAACGTCATGGTCCTTATCGTCTTCTACAAAGCATAGTAAAAGATCTTTCTTATTTGAAAGTATATGAGACTAGATAATATCTATGTAGACAATCTTTGTATGTGTACTCATCTATTCTCTTAAAAACTCAAAATGGTCTTTTGATGTCTTCTAGCTTAACACACCTTTTCTTCGTTTCCCGCTCCTTATTAATAATCACCCATACTAAATCTTCCTCATTGTAAGTTGCCTTGGTTCAAAATTTAGAGACTTCAACCCATGGCTTTTCTTTGCTTGCATTTCCCTCAATGTATGCATCATGCTTCAATTCGATAAAGTCAATGACCTTGGCTTGATCCTCGAGCCTTCTTCCACTTTGTCCAGCAGCAACTCTTCCAAGTTTCCCCATGATAGCAACGCCAAAACAAATATGGTTGGTCTTGGTAGCAGCACCATATTCTTATCCTTGGAATTTGTCAATAACGATAAGCAAGCTTTCTTGCTCCTTGATGACAACAACATCTTCGTTTATCCTTCCGTCTCGGATAGCTCTTAAGTAACTCTTATTGACCTCAACAACACTTATATTAACCCCATGAATCACGACAACATCATCAACGCTACCAATGCTAACAACTTAATCAACATAATTGACAATAACTCTATCAACAATTCCATATGTGTTATTCATATCAACAACCTCAAGCATATTACCACGCTTAACCCAACACATACTCCATTTCAGTCTCAAGCATATCACCATGCTTACCCCTAACGTACTCCATTTCAGCCTCAAGCATTTAACCATACTTTTCCACATCATGACGTATGATAGATGCTATCGTATCTATTCTAATATTAATAACATACAAAACATTTAAATCATTAACATTAAATTCATCACACATAGGGCTAACATTCAAATCAACACAATCCTCTCTTCTGCTAGCCTTAGTATACTCAAAGACACTATCATGATCAAATATATACAAATTTTTTGAATCATATTCATGATTAGTAAGATGTGGCTTATCAAGATATAAGCTTGATGAACTAACTCAACTCTTGGCCTCTACCAAGTCAACTCCTCCATTTTTCACATTTTGTTCAACAAAATCACCATGGTTGATGGCATTCTTGCCTTGATCTCATAGATGTCCAATCAAGATTTTCTAGCTCATTGACTTTCTTTCCTTCACCACATAATCCTAAAGATCAATTTCCACAAGTCTTGAACTAGCAAGCTTCATCACTTGAGAGGGATCATCTTGCACACTCGTTACTAAAACGACTATAACTTCTAGTAAGATGCCCAAGTCATACACTATTCAATGCATTGGAAATTAGATTTAAACACCTTTCCAGTAGTACATAATTTTCCTAGTAATTTATTTGATGCTAATATAGTTTAACGTATGAATGTGAAATTGAAATTGCAAACTTCGTTCTAATGCAATTCTTTTTCTACCGAATGAACCTCTCCTTTATAGCCTTGATATATTATGCTATCTAGTCCTCTACATGTCAACGTTTCTTCTTCAAATTTAAAAACATGATTTTTTTTCTTTTTTAAAAAATAAATTAGTATAATATATATTATGAATTCTTATAATTTTTAAATGATAGTTGCATATATATATATATATATATATATATATATATATATATATATATATACTAAAAGGTTAAAATTATATTTTAAATAATGTATCTCGACTCACTAATTATGGTCAAAATGTAAAAAAAAAAACTATTGAATCTTTTTTTATTTATTAAAAATTAATGACACATCTTCCAACATAATATAAATTATTTACTATGAATATTTTTTTAACATTATAGAACCAATTTATTTGAAATAAAATAATTAAAATGATTTTTTAAAGAAACCAACCAATTATTCAAATACAGTTTTTTATACTAATTTTATTGATTATTTTGTAAATATATATATAAAGATCAAACGCATATACTTTAAAACAATAATCTTCTCAGTAACATTAAATAAGAATAAAATTTTATTTTTTCATTAGTTAAGTTTTATGCAATTCTATACATTAATTGTAACTTTATTTTTTGGATGCATTCTTATAAAAAAAATATTTTTAAAGTATTTGGTTTTGAATCCTTAATTTATATTTCATGTTTAAATTATTACAAGTTTTTATTTAAGAATCCATGAATAAAGAAGAATAAATTATTTTTTTAAGTAGAAATTTTATGAAAAAAACAATAAAAATTAATAATTGAATAAAAAATAATGAAAAATTATAAAAATTTAAAATGATTTTGTTCTATTTGCTCGTAGCGTTTCGCGGATAATTTAAAAAAATCTTCTCATCATCATTAAATAAGAATTTTTTTCCTTTTTTAATTTTTATAAAAGTCCGTCAATTAATTATAACTTTATTTTTTTAAAATACAATAGTGTGAAACATATGTTTTAATTTTTTTTTAATTCTTGATTATTATTTTAGTTAAAATTATTATAATTTTTTATTTTAAAATCAATTTATAAAGAAGAATGATTTATGTCTTTTTAAGCAACGACTACAAAAAATAATGAAATTAGCGACAGTCTAGATCGTTGCTAATTCCGCACAATTCGTCGCTAATTTTAATTAGTGACGGTTTTGCAACGATCGAAAAACCGTCCATAAAATAGTAGTCGCTAAAATTTTACGACGGTTTGGTCCGTTGCTCCAAACTCGTCGCAAGAGTAAAAAAATCGTTGTAGAGAATGGTTGTATAAACAAGAAAATATGGCAACGGTACCAAAAAAACCCTCATTAAAACCATTGCTAAGATATTATTTTTAGTTTTTTATAACCCTCATTTTAAATTAACCAATTGCTATTTAAAAGTCTACAAAATACCCAAAACATAATATTTTAAAATTTCATAATTGTATTATAAAATTTATTAAAATGTATAAATATTATTCAATTATTAAATTCTTAAAAAAAGTAGAAAGTTTGTTATTGTTACAAGAAAACATGATAGGTAAGAGAGATTGGCGGGATTGTCGCTTGGAGATTA